CAGCTGCCCTGTGGCCGCTGAGAAGAGGGGGACGTGGCAGGCTGGGTTTGGGGACGTCCAGCGGGGCTCGGCTTGGCTCTGCCTTCAGGGGAGTCCCCTTCCGGATGTCTCAGTAAAGGTCCCCAGTGGATCCCACCTGGCCATGGGCCTCTGGCTGCTGGGGGGTGAGCAGCGATGTTGGGCTGGCCCAGCCCCATGCTGACCACTGTCCTTGCCTTGTAGGCGTGGACATTGTGGCCGGGAGAAGTTACCATGGGAGCCAGGCCCCCGCGTGGGCCCCCCTCATGCAGCCAGGGGTCTCCCTGTGATGAAGAAGTTGGGGTACTTGAGGCTACAGGGATGGGGAGGGAGGTGTCAAGCTACCGGGGTGTGGACAGAAGGTACCTGGTGCCTGCAGCATGCCCAGGATGGACACAGAGCTGACGTTGCGAGGTGGGCAGTAGCCAGAGGACAGGGCAGGCAGTGTGAGGGGCGCGGACAGCCTCTCTAAGGAGCTCTGCAGGTGGAGGTCCGCCCAGAGGCAGGTGGGGGTCCGGCCCAGAGGCAGGTGGGCCGGGAGGGGCCGTGGAGGGGCCGTGGAGGGGAGAGTGGGGCTGAGGACGTGGAGAAGGCGGCTCATGCACAGACGCAGGGTCGGGTGGGATTCCGCTCCGGGGCTGCCCCAGGCCCACAAGAAAGAACGTTCTAGAGGCCAGACCCGCAGGGCATGATGGGAAAGCATGGCTGGGCTTTGAGCACAGGTGTTTTGATGTTCTGCTTGGCCTTTCCCCCTTTGTGACTGTGGAAACTTCATGACCAGGTGCCCCTGGAGCGGGTGTGTCTGCCACCAGCCAGGTGGTCCACTCCTGAGCTGTCGGCCTCACTCTTCAGATGAGGCAACTGAGGGTCAGAGTGTACCACCTAGTTAGAAAGAGGGGACGGAGCCAGGCCTGACACCGCGCCTGTGCTCTAGCCACTGAACCACCCTTCCCCCCTGTGCAGGGCCTGGTCCTCCAGTGCCCCGCTGACTACTGGGAAGGGCAGGAAGCCCCTTCAGGGGGGCTATGCAGGGCGGTGAGAGCCCACACAGCAGCACCCTAGAGCCATCGGAAGGCGGGAACTCGCCAGCGCTTGGGAGTTGTGTGGGCCCTGCATACCTCTGCTCCCGTGGCTCGAGGCAGGGCTCCAGGCGAGCAGGCGCCAACCTGCCTCGCCATCCCCACCCTGGCCTCCCCACAGCTGGCCACCGGCCTTGTCACCTCGTCCTGGGATCCCTGCCCTGGCATTTGGTGGTGGCGGCCCGCCCCTTGCTGGTGGCCTTGACTCTCAACCCCAGCCTGACCTTGACCCTGAGACAGCTCAGAGTGCTTGAGGGGACAGGCTCCAGGGATGAGGACACCCCTCGAGGGCCAGGCGTCCCAGGGCAGAAGCCCAGAGCCATGGCCTTGGGGGCAGCTGTGCATGTGGGGCACTTTCTGTACTTCTTTCGCTTCCCTATGCCCTTGGACAGAGACTGACCGGGGACTGCCCCCTGCTTCCACCCTGGGCAGCTGTGTCTTCCGGACGCGCTGGCTGGCACTGACCCTCTGCCTCTCCGCAGGGCTGGCCATAGCTTGTCTCACCCAGTGCAGAGCCTGGGCAGCTGTGTCCTCCGGACGTGCTGGCTGGCACTGACCCTCGGCCTCTCCCCAGGGCTGGCCGTAGCTTGTCTCACCCAGTGCAGAGCCTGGGCAGCTGTGTCCTCCGGACGCGCTGGCTGGCACTGACCCTCGGCCCAGCTCGTCTCACCCAGCAGAGCTGGGCACGCGTGCACCCCAGCTGCTGCACACTGGCTCTGTGCACGACTCTTCCTGAGGGTCGATTGGCTCTAGGTCACAGATTCTTCACTCTGTGCTCTGGGGGATGGGCTAGGCATGCAGCCTCAGGGGTGAGCTTGACACTGAACCCGTCCGTCTGTCCATCTGTGCCGTGGGCTGGAGTCGCCGCTGGGTTCTGGGATGCAGTGGGAGCTGGGTGGTGGCGAGTACTGGGAGCACGCAGGGTGCTGGTGCCCTTGGCTTGGAGGTTTCCTCAGGGGTCAGGGTCTGAGGCGGGTCCCTCTTCAAGGCATGCAGGCCCCGGAATAGGGCAAGGTGGTCCCGCAGGACAGACCCTGAGTAGGGGCCCAAAGCAGGGAGTCAGGGCTCCCCTGACCAGAGAAGTGGCCTCTGCTCTGTGTGGAAATGCTGGCCTGCCGAGGAAGGGGCCTGGGGTGACCAAGAGGCCAGCAGGTCTGGTGGGTGTGGCCAGGTGTGGCCAGGTGTGGTGCGCTGGGCTGGCGGAGCCTGTGCAGGAGCTGGGGTGGGGGTGAGGGTGAGCCCTGGCCAGCACCAGCTGGACACAGCCTCACAGGGAGCTGGGATCAGGCTGTGACTCTTGAGGACAGGATGTGGGTGAGTCCCTGATGGACTCGTGTCCTGGGCTTGTCCGTCCGTCCACACACGGGGTGAGCGGAAACACACAGGAAGTCACTGGCTCACGGCTGCGGCCGTTAGTGCCGAGTCCAGGTGCCAGCAGGGCAGGATCCTACACGGGGTCCTCCTGCTTCCCTCAGCTGCCCTGGCTGCGGCCACACAGCCTTCCCCAGTGTGTGCCTTCTCTCCGCGATAGGTGTTTGTCTGCATTGGTGCCCGTCCAGCTAATCCGGATGAGCCTCTCCACCTAAGCCTTTTTCCAAGTAAGGTTGTGTTCACGGGCTCTGCGGCTTAGGACGTGGACATGGCTTAGGGAGTTGGCACCATCCCACTCTCCATACTGTGTGACCCTGGGAAAAGCCCTGTCCGCTAGGCACCCACTCCCCCCCCCCCCCCGGCTGGAGTGCCTAGGACCAAGTTCCTGGGAAAATCCTCAAAGGAGACGGAATGAGGCTGAGAGGGGAGTAGGCTCCTGGTCACCCCGGCCCTGTGGGAGGAGTGTACTCCGAGAGTTGAGAGCTTCCCTAGTGGGGGTGCCCCACCCATCGCTGGGCTCAGCATCCCTCCCCCAAGCCCCACAGCCCCTCTCTGGCACATTCAGTGCCTGAATTGGTCCTGAGGTGGACTGGGCATGGTGGCCCTGGGTCCCCATGCCATTGGTCCCTGGCGTCGGCCCAGTGGGTGCCCCCTCTCTGAACCTCGTTCTCATCAGCCCCGTGCCAGTGAGGACAGCACCAGTCTGGGCTGTGAGCGCCAGCCGAGGTGGGCAGGCGCCGGGAGGCTGACGGTGCCAGGGCGGGGCCAGGGTCACCGCTGCCATCTGCCTTCCTCCAGAGGAGGCTCGGGTCCTCCTAGGACCCACAGGGAAAGCACTCCCCACTGGTCAGCCCGCCTACCCTGGGAAGAGCCTGCCTGTGGCCTGGTGGGAGAGCCCCAAGCCTGGCAGTTTAAGCCACCACCGGCACAAGGCTGTGAGGGCCGGGGAGAAACGGGGGCTGCCAGCCACCTCTGCCTGCCTGGGTGGGATGCGGTCAGGTCGTGGAGGTCCTGTTATGGGGAGGGGGTCTGAACGGCCTCTGTTTTCGGGAGTGAACGCGTCTGTGGGGGTGGAAGGCTGCCTCGGTAGATGGGAGGGGCTGGGAGGAACTGAGGTGCAGACAGAAGGGGCCAGTGTGGCCCTGCCCCTCGAGGACCACTCTGTGCAGCCTGCTTCTCTGCTCTGGGCATCTCTGTGCTGGACGGGGGGTGGCGGGCCTGGGTCTGCCTCCTGCCTTGACCTCGGGACTCCTTCCCGTCCTCTGGCTGCCAAGGGTGGCCGTTCCTGGAGAGAGCGTAGGCTGCCCGGCTCCAGTCACCGGATGTGCACCGTGGCCTGTGTGCTCGTCCCCACCTGGGAGTGGTGGCCCTGAGCCCCTCCCCTGTTCAGCAGACTTCTCAGTTAAACCTGGGCCCAGGCCTCCCCTTATCCAGCAGCCCAGGGCCTGTCCCCTCTGGGTTCCACAGCATCTTAATGTTCCTACCCATTAAAAAAAAAAAAAAACTTTCATTTTATTTGAAAAGCAGAGAACAGAGGGAGAGAAATATAGAGCGAGATTTTTCCCAATGCCTACAATAGCCTGGTCTGAGCCAGGCCAAAACCAGGAGCCAGAAACTCCATGCAGGTCCCCCTGGGTGGGCAGGGATTGAGTCTGCAGCTGTCTCCTGGTGCTCATCAGCAGGAGGCTGGAATCAGGAGCAGGCCTGGACTAAACCCTGCAACCCTGCTAGGATGCCGGTGCCCACCACCGTGCCACCTGCGCATGCCGCCTGGCTGACCTGGCCCGGGGCTGCTCCTGCTGTTTGATGTCACCCCTGCCACTAAGGGGAAGCAGACCGGGAAGAGTTGCCCCCTGACCCTCCCCGGCTGCTGTCTGTCTGTCTGAGGTCAGCTTTCTGCTCCCTTGGCCCCTGAGGGCACTGAGGCTGCGACAGGTCGGGGAGAGGCCAGAGTTGTTGTGCCCACCCTAAGAGTTCAGGCTCCTCACCCTCCAGGAGACAGTGGGGGAATCTGGGGCCCAGAACAGCCCCCAGGCAGCAAGTCCGGGGCTCCTAAGCCTGGGCGCCCTGACATGCAGGCCTGTGGCTCTTTCGGCGGGGAGGGGCGGGGAGGGGAGTAGAGGGATGAGGGAGAGAATAGTGTCCAGGCCCATTGGAGCCAGAGCCGCAGGCAGAGGTGGGAGTGTGGATCTGGGGACCATGCCTGGTGAAACCTGGGGAGCAAGATGAGGCCCCCACACAGCTCCAGGTCCCTGTCACCCCCAAATCCTGCCGTGAGGGGGTCCCAGCCCCAGAGAGCTCCTTTTTCCAGCTGCTCCAAGGCTTCCATTTCCCTGGGAGAGCCCTGGCTTTGAGAATCAGGGCCGTCTGTGGAGAAGGGGGCTCAGTACCCAACAGCCTGGGCTGGAACCCCAGGGTTCCCCAGCTTCTGGGCTGGGGGCCCTGGGGAGGGAGGGTTCTGAGCAGGACTTCGGGCAGGGGCTGGGGTGGGGTGGTTTGTATGAAAAGGGTCCATGGGAGGGTGACTGCGAATCGCCTGGACTTGGCCTGTCCCTAGCCGCCTGGGGCCAGAGGCACACCCCTCTGTTGGGGCAGGGTCTGCTCTGGTGGGTGGTGCTGGGGCAGCGAGCACCCTGTGTGGGCGTCAGCATTGGCTTTGCCTTGAGGTTTGCTGCAGAGCTGGCCAAGTACTCGGCGGCGGCCACAGGGGGCACCAGCAGGGAGTTTCCTCCCAGGGGACCCAGCCGGCTTTGCACTTGAGTGCCATGGTCTGTGACCACATTGAGGGGCGGGAGCCATGGTGGTTGGGGGCTCAAACCCACAGGCCGGGTAGCGCTGACGCGGCTTCCAGGCTCTCGCAAGGTGGAAGGCAGGAAGTGCTGGCCCAGGGAGCCAGCAACCGGAAGTCTCGGACAGGGAGGAAGCCCTGGCGCCACAGGCCCCACTTGCAGAGAGAGTGAGCTGCGGACGCCACGAGCCGAGCAGCAGGTCGGGCAGCCGGGGCCTCAGGGCTCACATGCTGGGGAAGTGCGGACCACAGCTCTGCCCGGCTGCCCGGAGCCCCAGGACCCCTGCCCCCAGCAGGTCACCAGGCAGGAGGAGAGCCATGTGCTGGGTCAGTGGTGTCAGGTCAGTGGGGTGGCCTCACAACTGGGGGCTTGGGAGGCTGTGGTAGCCTGGCACCTGCAGAATGGGGCGGGGGGGGCATGTGGGAGCCACAGCCCCTGTCAGGGCTGGCAGTATGGCCCGTGGGGCCAGGGCCACAGAGGCGGCCGGCTGCTGGGACTCTCCTGCCCCTGCCCTGTCACAGGGAGCATGGCCCCCGGCAGGGAGGAGGCAGGGGCATCCCCTGTACCCTGCCTGGGATGGCCTTGATGTCTGGGTCCTGTGTGCATACGCACTGTGTGTGTGTGTGTGTGTCCACGTGGCCTGCCCGCATGTGGAGAGGAGGACCCCAGGCGGTGTGCCCTCCCCTGGCTGACAGTGGGCTCTCTGGCCTGGCTGGCCACTGGGCCTTTGTTGGAAGCTTTCGGTTTTGATTCTCATGCAGAGACATGTTCTGGGAAGAGGAAGGAAGGGAGGGGAAACTGAAAGGGAACAAATGCGCCACGGTGAGGCCGCGCAGCCAAGGGGCTCCGTGGTGGGAAACCCCCACCGCTGAGCGCTGCACCCGCCGTGTGCCCACGGAGGGAGGCTGGGCAGAGGCCGTGCGTGCTCCCTCGTTTGCTGACTATGTGACTCGGGCACGGGACTCATCTCCTTTGCCCCTTGGCGTCTTCCTTGGCAACGTGGGGGTGGCTCTGCTTTGAGTTGTTGGGATGGTGGCCTGGGGTGGCCCAGAGAAGCACGGAGCCTGGCCCGTGGTGAGCGCCCTGGGTGCTTGGTCAAGTCCTGGGCCGGGGTGTAGAACCGGGTGAAGCAGGGTGCCCGGGCAGGGCCCTGTGTGACTTCACGAGCTTCCCGGTAGAGAGAGGGCCGTGGCTGGTGAGCAGGGTTCCGACCCGTGCCACGCTGCCGGCCCAGCACGCTGGGGTCACCCTGTGCAGGCCGTGTATGTGAGTACATGAAGGCTTCCTGCGCATAAGGACACGTGTGTGAACGAGTGCTTGCCTGTGACTGACAGCTTGCATGTGCACCAGCGTGTGAATGAGCACTGGGGGAACCTGGTCTCCCTGTGGGCTGGGACCGCCAGCCCCAACCCGCCTTGCACCTCCACGAACAGGGCCGGCCTGGTCACCACTAACAGAAAGTCTCCGGTGCTGTGGTCACCTGCTTCCTGACCGCGGCTGGGGCCGTGTCTGCAGGAGCCCAGCCCTTCACAGCCTCCATTTCACTCTCATGCACAGGCTCATACCTGAGCACACGCCGGCTCACACGTGCACACCCATGGGCGTGTGTCTGCAATGTGAGCTGGGCGTGCAGAGCCACAGCTCAGAGCTGTGCAGGGAAGGACCACACGTCTCTGGGCCCCCGGGGGCCCCCGGGCAGGGGGAGCCACAGAGCCTGCACTTCCTGAGCTTGATGGGGTGAGCAGATTTCACCTGTGTGCTCGGAAGCTCAGGCCGGAGGGAAGGGAGGAGGTGAGCGCAGGAGCAGACACCTGGGCGGTGCCTCCCAGGTGCCCACCTTCCCTAGCGTGCACACACACACATGTGCACGTGCACGAGCTCAAATGCATAGCCAGACGTGTCCCCACGGGCCACATACGTTCTGGAAGGGCTCCCTGCAGTCACCCATCAGCTCTGGCCACCTGATGCTCACCCAGGTGCAAGGATGACTGGCGAAAGCGGGTCCAGAGCCTGCTGCCAGCTCACCGGGGGCCTCGGAGCCCTGTGGGAGGGGCTGTGCTGCTCTTTCCTCCTCTTCTGTGTTCTGGAAGCGTCTGGGAAGGGTTGTTCCTTTGAGTGGACTGGAGGGACTGAGTGTGGTCACTCGGAGCTGCAAGCAGTGGACACTGTGTCACTGAGGCCTGCAGGAAGATGCAGGTGGATTTGGGGCACGTCTGGCACAGACACACAGGAGGTGGGGGCAGATGGGGAGCCTGTGAGACAAGTCCAGGGGGGTGGACAGGAAGGGCAGGAGGTCAGGGGGAGGCCGGAACACTTAGGTCAGTGCAGTGTGGGGGGCTTGGGTGCCTGTTGAAGGAGTGCTGGGTGGACAGGACGGAGGGGTGCAGCTCAAGGCAGCTGGACCTAGGGCACAGTGGCTGGAAGAAGGCGGTGGAGAGGGGTGGGTGTGGGGCCCTGCCTACAGAGAGAAGAGTGAGGCAGGGGCCCTCAGCCAGAACTCCGATCAACCCCACCCCAGCCCATTCTACAGAGGTGCAAACTGAGAAGGCGCGGGCGTGGCCTCGCCGAGTTGGGGCTGGGCGCCCGGCTACACGTGCAGACCCCGGGCCTCCTGAGCCTCACGCCCACCACCCTCGGTGGCAGCTGGGGAGCCCGAAGCCCGACCCGCGACCCGCGAGGGGGTGACGCGGCGGAGGGGCGGGGCCGCGTCCCTCACCTGCCCACTGGCCCGCCCGCGAGGGGCGGAGCCGGCACGGCCCAGCTTGGGGCGCGGCGGGCATGGCGGGCGCGGGTCAGCGGCCGCGCAGCTGGGGCCGGCAGGAGGCAGGCGCGGGGGCCGAGGCGGGGCGGTGTCGGTGCGCGCAGGGGCGGGCTGCCGCCCGGAGACCGGCCGTGCCTGCCGCGTGGACGCCGTGAGTACCGAGCGCAGACCCGAGCTCCTGGACGCGGGGCCCCGGCCCGCGCGGTTCCCTCGGAAACAAAGACGGGCGTGGGCCCGTCCCGGCCGGGGTCTGTCCGGCTGCGGAGGGTGGGCGTGGGCACGGGGCACCCTCTCCCCACTGCCGGGCTTTGTCGGCGGCGTGGCGGCGAAGGCATTGGCCGCGTCTTTGTTCCGCTCGTCCCCCACCTCCCCGCGGGCGGAATTGGCCTCTTGGGCAGACAGGACCGTGGGGGCAGCGGATGACCCAGGCCGAGGCGACTTCCCTCTCAGTTTGGTGGAGCTGCCAGTGGCGCCGAGCAGACAGTGGCTTTGTAAATGTGTGTTTTGGGGTTGGAGCTGTAGTGGCTGGAGACTCACCCGGCCCCGCCTCTGGGCTGGGTCTGACCCTCATTGCCTCACTAAAGGGCTCAGCAGGACCCTGGACACCCGCCTGCTCCACTGGGGCCCCAGAAAGACCTGCCAGGGTAGGGAGGGGCAGGCAGGGACGGTGTGTGTGTGAAGACTCTGACTGGGCACTGGGGGTCTCGCAAGAGAGGGAATTTGTCATCTGGGTCCTTGCGGGACAAGCAGGAGCATTGCATGTGGGCAGGGGTGCGGTTCGTTGTAGGCAGAGACTGGGAGTGTAACAGAGCCTGGTGGGCGTGGGCCAGGCCAGCTGGAGTAGGGGCCGGTGCTGTGGCACAGCTGGTTAAGCCCCAGCCTGCAGCGCCGGCATCGCATGTGGGCACTGGCTGCTCCACTTCCGATCCAGTTCCTTGCTAATGCGCCTGGGAAAGCAGTGCAAGATGGCCCACTGCACCCGCGTGGGGGCCCCAGAAGAAGCTCCTGGCTCCTGGCTTCAATCTGGCCCAGCCCCGGTCGTTGTGGCCATCTGGGGAGTGAACCAGTGGATGGAAGACCTCTCTCTGTCTCTCCTTCTCTCTCTGTAACTCCGGCTTTCAAATAAATAAAATAAATCTTAAAAGGTGGGGGGGAGTTAGGGTAGGGGTGGAGCCAGTGCCGGGGCCTGAGTCACCCCCAAGGCAGTCTGGTGTCCCCACTGTGAGTGTACACTGTGTGGGTCCCTGCTAGGTGGCAAGCAGGGCAGGTGAGTGATGTGCAGGCAGACAGGGTGGACACCACCCACCCCTGACTGTGGCTGTCACCGCCACTGCTGACAAGGGTGTGCTGTGGGCTGACAGGGTGGACACCACCCACCCCTGACCGTGGCTGTCACGGCCACTGCTGATGAGGGTGTCTGTGGGCTGACAGGGTGGACACCACCCACCCCTGACTGTGGCTGTCACGGCCACTGCTGACAAGGGTGTGCTGTGGGCTGACAGGGTGGACACCACCCACCCCTGACCGTGGCTGTCACGGCCACTGCTGACGAGGGTGTCTGTGGGCTATAGGGTGGACACCACCCACCCCTGACCGTGGCTGTCACGGCCACTGCTGACGAGGGTGTGCTGTGGGCCAGGCAGGAGACCCAGTTGTTTGACTTAGGATCTCTTGGTTACCAGCTTACCTGCTGCATGGGCCTGGGGCCTCTGAGCTGGTGGAGATGGTGCCCAGAGCCTACCCCGGCACCTGTACCTCTTTTAACTCCCTCCTTTGGGTTGTTCCCTGACTCCAGGGAGCCCCTCCCTCCTTCCTGGGGAGGGCAGCGTCCATTATGGGCTCACCTGGTGCTGGGGTGGTTATGGCCCAAGACCTGACTTAGCTGTGTTCATCCGTCACTGTCCTCCAGCCCCTGTGGGTCCCTGCACTCAGCAGGTGCGCTGAATGAGCCAGGAACAACAGGGCCGTGGGCCTCCGGCCTGGGCACCAGGCGTGTGGTCAAGTAGAGCAGAGGCTGACCAGGTGGACCCGGCGCCCCTGCAATTCCCTGGGGTCCCACTTAGAAGCGAGGGCCTTCAGGACAGGGGTTCCCTCGCTGCCTTACCCTCCCTGCTGCCTCTCCCCCAGGTGAGCCACCTGGCTGAGCTGTGTCCCTTCTGTTACAGCTTCATGGAGGCTGAGGAGACGCACTGGCCCGTCCCCATGAAGGCCATTGGCGCCCAGAACCTGCTAACCATGCCTGGGGGCGTGGCTAAAGCCGGCTACCTGCACAAGAAGGGCGGAACGCAGCTGCAGCTGCTCAAATGTGAGTGCCCCGGGGGCAGCCTCTGCCTCCCCAGGTTCTGTGCTGCCGGAGTTCTGCTGGGCCAAGACGCGGCCACCTGGGGTCAGCCTCCCTAGGCCCCGGCACTGTGGCGGGGCCCGGGGGTGTCGCTGGGCCAAGAGAGGTCGGTGGGCATTTGGTGCACAGTGCTGGCCGAGGGAGCTCGGCTGGTGCAGCTCTGTGTGCCACTGCTGGTGCCACACTCACTCACGTGTGGGTTCTCAGTGAGTTTGTTGGTCACTCGGGCCACTTGAACCATCTGCCGAGCCAAAACCTAGCTGGACACTAAACTCCGGAGCTATGCAGGACTCAGGCAGTGGCCCAGGACCCCAGGCTGGATGGGGAGGAAGCCCCCAGGCCCGGGAGATGTCCAAGTGTGGAGACCCGAAAGCAAAGAGCATCCGGGCCTTTGTGCCAGCAGCGCCCTCGCCAGGACACCTTGGTTGAGATGCCCCAAGCTAGACTTGGTTTCTGTGTGGGCGCTGATTGAGGTGGTTTTGTCTTGGCCCAGGGAGCGTCCAAGGAGGGGCTGTAGCTGACCTGTCCCCAGGCCTGAGAGGGGCTGCTGGAGGCTGGACAGTGGATTTGGGGGTTCTCAGGGCAGCTCCACCCCTATGGCTCTCATCAGCCACTCCCTGGGCCCCTGAGCCCTCCTCCGCCCTCTCTCCCAGCCCTGGGTGGAGGGAACCTCTGGCAGCCCCACCCAGCCCTCAAACGTGCCTGTTCTCTTAGGTGGTCTGGCCTGCCCTGGGGCGGTGCCTGGCACACCCGTTGTCCCTGTGTGGCCCCCGGGGCACCCTGGAGAGACAGCAGCAGGCTGGCTTAGCTGCCTGCTCCTCTCTTCCATGGAAGCCCAGTTCCAGGACGCCCAGAGTGTCTGGGGAGGGTCCCGGCGGCTCACCCCACCCCTGCCACGCCCCCACAGGGCCTCTGCGCTTTGTCATCATCCATAAGCGATGCATCTACTACTTCAAGAGCAGCACCTCGGCCTCCCCGCAGGGCGCCTTCTCCCTCAGCGGCTACAACCGGTGAGTGCCCAGCGCCCGTCCTGCCTAGCGCCAGCCAGTTCTCCGCCCAGGCTGCCTGACAGTGCCGGACTGGTCCCAGGGGAAGTCCAGGCTCGCCCCCAGACAGCCGCCCCTTGCGTGCTGGGGCCAACACCCTGCCTCCCGCGTGCTAGGGATAGGGCCCCATCCAGCAGGTGTCCTGAGCCTGCCCTCAAGGGGCCTCTGGAACAATGGGCAGGTGTGCCCTGGGCCCGAGCTCTGTGGGAGGGAGAGGGCGTGCTGCACTGATAGCCCTGTTCCCTGCCTGGGTCCACCCTGGCCTTGGGGGCGGGCAGATCAGGGTTTGAGTGCTGGCCCCTCAGCGCCAGTACTGGGGCTGTGCTCAGCCCTGCACTCTGACCTCTTTCCTGCCTCAGAGGTACCTAGTATCACGTGGCATCAGTGACATAGCCAGGACTCCCAGGGAGTTACCCCGGTCCAGAGCCAGGCCCTCAGGCTGACCTCAGACCCTGGTTGGGTCAGTGAGGGGTCTCCAGGGCCCTGTGGGCAGCAGGCAGGCACTCAGGTGCCCTTGGGAGGGTCATTTCCTTTCCCCAGACACACTGCCCTCTAGCCTGCGGCGAGTGCTAACCAAGCTGTGAGCACCGAGCCCAGGGGCAGGTGCAGCCATGCCCTGGAGAATTACCCAGCCCCGTGACGGGCCAGATGAGCACAGCCACCCTGGTACCCCGCTGGCAGGGGCTGCACTGGGCTGTGAGGGCCCCCACAGATGGGCCAGGGCCGAAGCAGGGCAGAGGTGGTATAGGCGGGCAGAAGGGGTGAGCCCTGCACACTGCCCCCAGTGGCTTCAGTCCACTCCCCACACTCACCCTCACTCTTCTGTCTGCCCCTTAGTCTGGGGCGTCGGCAGGCAGGGACCGTCCAGCTCTGTCCGTGTCCCTTGGGGCACGGTGCTGGGTGCCGAGATCCATCGGGCATGGGGGCGGTGGCGAGGCTGTCCCTGTGGGTGTGGAGCAGGTGGCGACCTGTGCCCTGTGCCCTCAGGGTGATGCGGGCAGCCGAGGAGACGACATCCAACAACGTCTTCCCTTTCAAGATTGTGCACATCAGTAAGAAACACCGCACATGGTTCTTCTCGGCCTCGTCTGAGGATGAGCGCAAGGTGATTGGGGTCCCAGGGCCGACAAGTGCCCGCTGGGGCTGCCGTGGTGGGGGCTCGCTCGTTCCAGGACTCTGGCCACCCGTCAGCCATGGCAGGGCCTTGTCACGGCCCCAAGACGAAGTGTCTGGGCCACACAGGCTGGGCGGTCATCTCCCCTGACCTTGCCGGCTCACCGTACAGACGCTGGGCTGGGAGGAGAGGAGGGCGCGGGAGAGGCCCTGCTCTGGGCAGCACCACGCCCACCACAGCCCTGGCTGCCCCACAGAGCTGGATGGCCTTGCTGCGCAGGGAGATCGGGCACTTCCATGAGAAGAAGGAGCTGCCCCTGGACACCAGGTAGGTGAGGGTGTGTCCGCCTGCCAGCTCCTGGGGGCTTGGCCCAGATCCCCTCCCTAAAGGTTTTTGTAGAGGCGTCAGCCAGCCCACAAGTATGTGCCACATGTGTGAGCATGTGTGCAGAAGTGTGTCTCTGTCCCCGTCTGTCATCTCTCGCCTCATCTCTGTCCGTGTGTTTGGTAGCTCCTGTGTGGGAGTCACGGGAGATTTTTTGCCTTCCCCACTCAGGGGGCCTTGGCATTTGTAACAGCTCAGAGCTTTGGGTTCCCAGAGCCTGGACGCCCACCCACGCCCACTCCTCAGGGAGCTGACTCTGTCCTTGCAAGCAGCAGGGTTCTCTGAGCGGGAGCCCAGCCTTTGCCTCCGAGGAAGCCGAGGCACAGAGAGCCAGGTACTCCCAAGGCTGCCCTGCACTGACCCCTGGAGCTCCTAGCCCTGAGCCTCCTCTGGGCAGCAGCAAGTGGACAAATGGCCTGACCCTGAGGCAGGGCTCTGGCCGGTCAGGATGGCCGCACTCAGGGCAAGAACCCCCAGAAGCCCTTGTCTGCGCCTGTGACTCTGGGTGTGTGTGTATTGGAGGGCCTCTGTGTGTGTGTGTGTGTGTGTGTGTGTGTGGATCCTGACATCTGTGTGTGTGTATCTGTGTGTGTGTGGATCCTGACATTGTCTGTGTGTGTGTGTGGATCCTGACATTGTATGTGTGTGTGTGTCTGTGTGTGTGTGGATCCTGACATTGTATGTGTGTGTGTGTCTGTGTGTGTATGTGGATCCTGACATTGTATGTGTGTGTGTGTGTGTGTGTGTGTGTGGATCCTGACATTGTCTGTGTGTGTGTGTGTGGATCCTGACATTGTATGTGTGTGTGTGTGGATCCTGACATCTGTGTGTGTGTGTCTGTGTGTGTGTGGATCCTGACATTCTATGTGTGTGTGTGTCTGTGTGTGTGTGTGGATCCTGACATCTGTGTGTGTGTCTGTGTGTGTGTGTGGATCCTGACATCTGTGTGTGTGTGTGGGTCCTGACATCCGTGTGTGTGTGTGGATCCTGACATGTGTGTGTGTGTGTGTGTGTGTGGATCCTGACATCTGTGTGTGTGTATCTGTGTGTGTGTGTGGATCCTGACATTGTATGTGTGTGTGTGTGTATCCTGACATCTGTGTGTGTGTATCTGTGTGTGTGTGTGGATCCTGACATTGTATGTGTGTGTGTCTGTGTGTGGGGGGGTCCTGACACCTGTGTGTGTGTGTGTGGATCCTGACATCTGTGTGTGTGTATCTGTGTGTGTGTGTATCCTTACATTGTGTGTGTGTGTGTGTATCCTGACATCTGTGTCTGTGCGCTTGCTCTGTGTCTCGTTTCCATCTGTGTGTGTGTGTCTGTGTGTGTGTGTATCCTTACATTGTATGTGTGTGTGTGTGTCTGTGTGTGTGTGTGGATCCTGACATCTGTGTCTGTGTCTGTGCGCTTGCTCTGTGTCTCGTTTCCATCTGTGTGCATGCTTACATGCGTGTGTGTGCATGTCTGTTGCAGTGCTGGCGTGTGCCTGTGGTGGGTCCATGTGTCAGCCTCCTGGGCCTGGTGCCCAGAGCCTGGCCCAGCTGCTCCCTGCATTGCAGCGACTCCAGCTCGGACACTGAGAGCTTCTACGGTGCAGTGGAGCGGCCTGTGGACATCAGCCTGCTGCCGTGCCCCACGGACAACGAAGGTGAGGCTGGCGCCTTGCCCACACCCTGCCTCCCTGTACACGGGCCTGCTGCCAGTGCCGGGATCAGGACCTCCCCTGGGCTGCGGTCCTGCCCTGTCCCTGTGGATGGCGGTGGCATCTCCCGTCTTCGGCAGCCCGGGTTCTGGGCTCAGCACTGTCACCCATCTGTGCCCCCACAGTCGGAGCGTGGCTGTGGCTCTGCCTGGCCCTCCCCACGTCCTGACACGGCTGGGCCCGGTCACCCAGAGCCTCACACTGGGTCCACTCTTGCAGACTACGAGCGTGACGATGAGGACGACTCATACATGGAGCCCGACTCCCCTGAGCCCACGAAGCTGGAGGGTAGGTGGGGCGAGTGGGCCCGTGGGGACGAGGCTGGGGCTGGGACCAGGGCCCCTCCCAGGCTGGCACTGCCTGTGGCCTCAGTCTCTCAGCTGCAGCAGAGTTGCATGCGGAACACAGCACACGTGGTGCTGGGGGCGGGCAAGGAGGGCCACGGGGGGAGCAGGTCCAGGGCCGCTGCTTCCTGGTGGCTCTGGGCTCTCAGTGGCTTCAGGCCAGGCTGTCACCCAGCACCCCAGCGCCCCGCCACATCCTGAGGCCCAGGGCCTAGGGGGAGTAGGCTGGTAGAGGCAGTCACAGGTGCAGGAACCAGGGCCGTGCAGGGCTGGGGAGGGTCTGCCTCTGTCCTGTCCTTCGTCACCTCACTCCCTGCCCCTGGACCCGCCCTGATTTCCCTTCCTCTCCAGCCTTCTCATCTTGCTGAGTTCGTTACATCTCCCTGCGTCTGTCTGCCTGGCCTTGCCCACCACTGACTCCCATCCCACTCCCTTCCGTCACAGCGCACTCCTGGGGTCGGCACTTCAGCCCTCCAGGCCTGCCATTCGCCTCGGTTCCCCTCCGCCTGCATGCTGTGCTGCGTCAGCACAATGGGGGTGGGTACACGGGATCCCCGGTGCAGCTGCTGGCTGACCGCACACCCCCGGCCCAGCCTCCTCCCTGCTGTGGTCAGGCCAGCTTCCACAGCCTGTCCCCACAGCATCTCTTATCGCGGGCTCCAGTGGCTTCCCCATTGCCCATTGCAACACCATGAGCTGTGCCTGGCCTGGCACCTGCCCTTGGTGTCGTGTGCTCCCGGGCCCCTCTTGCTTCTTAGTGTCTGCTGGCCCCTCTAGGGATATCCACCCCTGTGACTGAGGGACACCCAGGGGTCAGGCCTCATTCCCTGGGGGACAGCCAGTGTCCTCACGGACACACGTGTCCAGCAGGACCTCTGAACTCCAGGCCTGTGCCCCTCACTGTCCACACACATTGCCCGGCCATCGCACAGCACCCTAACCCTGTCAGGGACAAACTCTGGCCTTCATCTTCCCCCATCTGCCCGTGCCCTGGCCTCTCACCTCCGTCCTCAGGAATTCTGTCCTTTCTCTGGTCCAGGCCAAGCCCTGTGAGTCCTCCTCCCCCTCCTGTCTTGCTCCCACCTCTGGGGGTCTGCACTTCTGCAGGTTGCACAGGCGCTGTGTGGAGGACAGGTAGGGCGGGTGGTCTGGGGCTGCCCGTGGATGCAGGGCACTGGGCTGCGAAGGGGCCCACACCATAGGCCTGGCAGGCCGCTGCCAGCAGAGGGTGCTGTTGGCCCAGCCTCCAGCCGGTGACACCGACCTGGATCTCTTTGCTTCACAGAGGCCCTGACCTACCCACCTGCCTACCCGCCACCGCCAGTGCCCACGCCCAGGAAGCCAGCCTTCTCCGACTTGCCCCGTGCCCACTCCTTCACCTCCAAGGGCCCAGGCCCCCTGGTCCCACCCCCACCCCCTAAGCGTGGCCTCCCGGATGCCTGCCCCGCCCCGGAGGACTCCCAGAGGGACCTGCTGGGCCTGAGGAGGCCTGAGCCCAGCCTCAGGGTGCCCGCTACTCCCCGAAGGATGAGTGACCCCCCTCTGGGAAGCATGCCCACTGTGCCCAGCCTCCGGAAACCCCACTGCTTCCGGGAGGGCGCCAGCCCCAGCCCCAGCCCGGAGTCCTGGGTCCCTGGTCACAGTGCCGGCTCTGCCTCCAGTTCGGCCGTCTCAGCTGCTGTCACCTCCAGGAACTGTGACAAGCTCAAGTCCTTCCACCTGTCTCCCCGGGGGCCACCCACCTCGGAGCCCCCTCCTGTCCCGGCCAGCAAGCCCAAGTTCCTGAAGATACCTGAGGTGGCCCCCCCGGGGGAGGCAGCCAGGGCTGGACTCTTTGTGCCCCCGGTGGCCCCCAGGCCTCCTGCACTGAAGCTGCCCATGCCTGAGGCCGCGGCTCGTCCCGCAGTGCTGCCCAGGCCAGAGAAGCCACTGCCCCCTCGCCTCCAGTGAGTCTGCGCTGTGGGGGTGCCCTGCTTCCCAGACTTGGGGACCCCTCCCTGGCCTGCTCCCTCCCCCACCCCAAGCTATTGCCCAGGCATTGCTGCAAGGGTAGGAAAGTTCCCCATTGCCCCGAGGTGCGCCCGCCCTCTGCTTGCGGACTGGCCACCCCATGGGCAGTGGCCTTGGGGCCAGAGGTTGCCTTGGGAGCAGTGGTCAGTGTGGCCTCAGGGATTCAGGGCCAGCTGCCTGCCCTGGGACGGACCATGGGCTGTGAGCTCTGAGCCAGCAGGCCCTGCCGTCTGGGGCTTCCCAGCCCCGCGTGGGGCTCTGGCTGTGTTTCCTGGTTCTGGGCCATCAGGGATGCTCTGTGCCTGTCCAGACGGGGAGATTCATTGCTGCCTGCTTTAGGGCTGGTGGTGCCAAGAGACCAGGGTGTCCCCCACTCCGTAGGGTCTCCCACTTTGATGGCCCATGGTCAAAGGTGTTTGGGACCCCTCTGGGGCTTTGTGCCTCCCGTGTTGTGCTGGCCCAGCACCCCCCAAATGCCTCGACCATGGCACCCTCACCCCAGGTCCAGCTAGGCTCTGCGGGAGAAGTCCTTGGCATGCTCACCCTGTTTCACAGGGACCACAGAGGGGCGGATGCTCGCGAGTCACTCGCTGTGCTGAGGCCCGGGGCTGGACCTGGTGCCGTGGGCTGTGTGCGCTGGCGTCCAGGCTTCGGCCTTACCCACGGCCCAGTGGGCAGGGCTCTGTGGGATTCAGGATTCAGCCTGTGGCAGCTGCCTTTGATTCTCCCCGAAGCCCTGGCCACACAGGGGCGGCGTCCCCTGGGAGCACTGCATTGTTCATCCCGCACGCGCCCTCCTGCGGCTCTGAGAGGGAGTGGCTCGGCCAAGGTCACAAAGCTGGTCAGCCGCAGAGCTTGGGCCGAGACGCCCCTCCCTCCGCGGCTGTCAGAGCAGGCATCCAGGCTGCACCACCACCCAGGCGTGGGTGCCCAGGACTGGCCCCCGTGCCTCGGGCAGTTCCTGACGCCCCGACAGTCAGCACGGGTCCCTTTCAGAACTGCTGGCCTGGGCCTTTTAGACGCAGAAGCCCCGTCGGGCCCCACTGTGGGTTCTGCTGCTGACCGAGGGGTGTGGCCTCACTTCCTCTCTCTGCCCTGCAGGCGGTCGCCCCCCGATGGGCAGAGTTTCAGGAGTTTCTCCTTCGAAAAACCCCGGGCGCCCTCACAGGCTGACACTGGAGGGGAGGACTCCGACGAGGACTACGAGAAGGCAAGGCTCAGTGGGCCCTGGACCCTGCCTGGCCTGCAGGTGGCCGGCAGTGGGGAGAGCTGCCAGCCCGAGGAGCCCCTTGCTGGCCCTGCTGAGCTAGGAGCCCCCAGGACCCTGGAGCTGAGGGCGACAGAGCTCGGTGCAAAGCCCTGAGCCGGGGGTGGGGTGGGGGCACTCAGGCCTCGACGGTGACCATGCTGGCCTCTTCCAGGTGCCGCTGCCCAGCTCGGTGTTCATCAACACCACGGAATCCTGTGAAGTGGAAAGGTCAGCGCATGTGGGGTGCCAGGTCCCCATCTTCCTGCCTCTCTGTCCCTCTCACCTGACTTGGTGTTGGACAGCCGCCGGCCTGAGTGCAGCGGGAGACCCAGCAGCCGTGGGTCCCACCAGCTGTGCCCTGATTCCTGCTGGCCAAAGTGCAGGAGGCCCAGAGGCAGAGTCCGGGTGTGGGGCGGGGCAGGGCAGGGCAGGAAGGGAGGGCTTACCCGTCAACGCTTGTGTTTCAGGCTGTTCAAAGCCACAAGCCCCCAGGGAGTACCCCAGAATGGCCTGTACGGCATCCGAAACTCTTCCACCAAGTCTGGGAAGGTAGGCACCCGGTGGCTGCGGTGCCCCCGTGGGACCTTGTGGCTCTGCCCCGGCCCCGGCCAGCGGTGGGCCAGGACTTCCTGGGTTGTCCAGCACCTCAACCAAATTCTGCCCAGCAGTACCCCCATCAGGGAGCAAGAAGGCAGTGTGGGACTCTGGGGGTGGGGTTCGTGCCCTAGGTGGGGCGGTGGCGGCGGCAGGAAGTTGGCCAGCGCAGCCTGTGTCCTGCCGAGTGTGAAGTGAGTGACCTCACCGGCTACCGTTTCCCTGTGGGTGTCAGAGCTGCTTTCAGGTGCACCTGCTCCTGCCACTCGGGTGTCATCTCAGGCTCCCCGAGAGCAGGAGGAGCCCCAGGGCAAGGGGCTGCACAGGGCATCTGGAGCCCTTCCCACCCACCCTGCAGGACCGCAGGACCCAGCCCTGGTGCTGCTACCTGCCCCCAGCAGGCTTTCCCAGGCTGGGCCCTCCTGAGGTTGGTCCTGCCACCTCTGGGCTGAGCTGTCCACTTCCCGCTTCCCTCCCTGCAGGTTCTGGTCGTGTGGGACGAGATGTCTAACAAAGTGAGGAACTACCGCATCTTTGAGAAGGTCAGGGGGCTCGACCTCACTTGAGGGCCTAGGTTGGATGGGGACCCTGGACCTGGGGCTTGGCCAGGGCCAGAGCAATGACCTGATAGGGTGCAGGTGGTAGGTTAACTAAGACTGGCTGCTGTGGGACACCCGTCCCTTACCCCAGCTCCTGCCATAGGTTAACTAAGACTGGCTGCTGTGGGACACCCGTCCCTTACCCCAGCTCCTACTGTAGGTTAACTAAGACTGGCTGCTGTGGGATACCCGCCCCTTACCCCAGCTCCTACCGTGGGTTAACTAAGACTGGCTGCTGTGGGACACCCGCCCCTTACCCCAGCTCCTACTGTAGGTTAACTAAGACTGGCTGCTGTGGGACACCCGCCCCTTACCCCAGCTCCTACTGTAGGTTAACTAAGACTGGCTGCTGTGGGACACCCGCCCCTTACCCCAGCTCCTACTGTAGGTTAACTAAGACTGGCTGCTGTGGGACACCCGTCCCTTACCCCAGCTCCTACTGTAGGTTAACTAAGACTGGCTGCTGTGGGACACCCGCCCCTTACCCCAGCTCCTACTGCCTCAACGTCCCTCTCACCTTGGCCGGCTTCCCCTTCACCCAGAGGAGAGGGTGGTCAGCCCTAGATCCTGGGTTTATTTACACGCTTGTCTGCAGTCCCCTGGGTGCAGGCTGCAGGTCGGACACTTGGGGATGCAGGAGGAAGTGAGGCAGGGACGTGAGGAACGCAGGCTGATGCAGAAGACCAGGGAGCCTGGGGTGGCGGGGGCTGAGCTGACCATGTCAGCATCCCCGCTGACCACCCTGGGTTAGAGAGAGGGACCGAGGTGAGGACAAGCGGGCTGACTCTCGCCTCCTGCCCTGCAGGACTCCAAGGTCTACCTGGAGGGTGAGGTCCTGTTCGTGAGCATCGGCAGCATGGTGGAGCACTACCACAGCCACGTGCTGCCCGGCCACCAGAGCCTGCTGCTACAACACCCCTACGGCTACGCCGGGCCCAGGTGACGCCTGCCCACAGGGCTGCTGGACAAAGGTGGCCAAGGGTGCCGCGGCCCCAGAGCGTGTAGATGGAGACTGAGTGGGAGGATGAGCCTCTCCTGCAGACAGCTTGTGGAGTTCGGCCAGGCCGCACCTAGCGGGCTCCAAAGGACCGGAGGACTCTGCTGCCCCACTCAGCCCTGTACTGTCGTAGCCTCCGGGAGCTGAGGCCCCGCACCGAGCCCTGCCTGGGCGTTGAGGACAGGAGTCTGGGCAGGGCTGGGCAGTTGACAGGGGCCTGGGCTGGCCCTGGGACCTCATTGGAACACTAAGACGCAGGCTCCAGGAGGGGCCGTTGCCTTCTAATAAATCAGAGCTGACCTTCATCGCCGTGGCCAGGGCCTGACTGGGAAGGAGTGGGGGCTGCTCGGCTTTCCGGGAGGCCCACCGACGTCTGAGCTGGTGACCGGAGCGGCTCCCAGAATCCCCAAGAGGTGGTCCCCACGTCGTCCAGGGCACAGGCTGCTGCGTGACTTGCCCGGGGACGCAGCTCTGGCGGTCTGGGCTCCCAGCCTGCACTTGGCTGCCAGTTCTGGGGCCCCAGGTGGGGCCCAGAGAAGGAGGCTACGAGGCTGGAGTGTCTACAGTTGGTTAGTTCCCTGCATTAACCGGGGTTTGAGTGCATCCTGTGAGCCAGGCCCGTGCTGGGGCTGTGCGGGGGCCGTGGCCTGGCCTGGCTGAGAGCTCAGGGTGGAGATAGTTGAGTGTGAGGGGCTCAGAGCTCAGGATCCAGGACAGCTGGGCATGCAGGGGCTGGGAGCCTACAGCCCAGCCGAGGGTTTCAAGATGACTTCTTGCAGGAAGTAGGGCAGGAGGGGTGGGCCCTGCTGCAGCCGAGCCTGCGCGGGGGGGCCCATCTGCGCCGATCCCAAGTCCTGCAGGCAGTCCCGACTGCCTGGTACCCTGGCTAGTCCCTTTTCCCTCTGCCAGTTCAGCCCAGCAGGCCATTCCCTTGGCATCTAGGCTGGACTTTTCATTTTCTTTTTAAAGATTTATTTATTTATTTATTTATTTATTAGAAATGCAGCATTACAGACAGAGGGAGAGACAGAGAGAGAGGTCTTCCATCTGCTGGTTCACTCCCCAAATGGCTGCAGTGCCTGGAGCTGAGCAGATCCGAAGCCAGGAGCTCCTTCTAGGTCTCCCACGCGGATGCAGGGGCCCAAGGACTTGGGCCATCTTTCCCAGGCCACAGCAGAGAGCTGGATTGGAAATGGAGCAGCCGGGACATGAGCTGGCACCCACATGGGATGCAGGTGTCACAGGTGGCAGCTTTACCCACTACACCACAGGGCTGGCCCCTGGGCTGGACTTGGTGTGAACACAGCCTCAGCTGAGGGTCAGAGCGGATCAGGGCTAGCAGGCTCCCGAGGGTCATGTGATCCGTGTTGTGCCTGATGTTGGGGAAAGTGTGTGTTAGGTGAAACTCATACCAAGAACCACACTTGTGCCCACCAGCCAGTGGTTCACGGTCCAGGGAGCAGGCCTGTGTCGCCCCCTTCCTGCACCAAACCCCGGGAGCCTGTGGTTCCCTGGAGAGGGAGTGACGAGGCGAGCTGGTGGGCGAGGGGTGCAGTGCGCAGCAGGCCCTGTGTCCAGTGCGGCCATCTGCCTGCAGGCCAGGCTTCCAGCACAGGTCTGCGGCCGGGCTGTCTCTTCAGCCAGAGGAGGCGGAGCACCACGTCAGCCCTGGGGCACGGGGAGTTCCTGGTGTTCATCCTCTCTGTGGCTGGAATGCTTTGCTGTTTGCCCCTAACTCGCCTGGCGACCTTTGGCCTGGAGTGGGTGGTGGTGGGAGGAGGCCCCAGAGCCCCCCGAGTGGTTTTCTTCCTGTAGAATTGTAACATTGGGGGTCGGATGAGAGAAGTGCGTCCCAGCCAGTGCCTGGCCCCTGCCAAGCTGGGGGCGTGCTGCGCGTGGCAGTCCTCTAACTCAGCGGTGACCTTGGCCAGCTCATCTGCCAGAGGGTATTGAAGATCCCTGGGCTGGAAGGTTTGGGGGCTGGAGGGCCCAGAGCCAGGTGACAGGTCCTCTGGCCAGCTGGACAGGTGCCTGTGGCTGCACAAGGCCCACCCTGGCGCCTGGCCCAGCCTCGTCTCCCCTCCCAGACCTGGGCTTCAGTTGCAGGAGTGTAGGTGCTGGGGTGCGGTGGGGTGGTTACAGGGCCTGGCTACAGTCCTGCAGCATGAAGGAGGGGCTGGAAGGCGCTCACCCCCTCCTGAGACCTGCCACAGATGTTTTATCCCACGTATGGGGCTGCGGGTGTTGCTGCTCACCAAGCGCTCCTGAGCTGGGTGCTTGACTAAATTTGCGTGGCGAAGTATCCGCCATTAGTCTTGTTTTACAGGTGAGAGAACCGAGGCTCAGAGACCTGGGTTCAAATCCCAGCCCTGCCACCCCCTCATGGGACCCCTTCAGTCCTTCAAGTCCTGCAAGCTTCAGTCCTGCAAGCCCAGGCCTTGGCCTTGCCTGGCTCCTACCACCTGTTAGCCTCTTCACCATCGTGGGGTGAGTAGTCAGCTCTGCTTGCCTCCCAGGGGTCTTGGGGTGCCCTTACCCACCCCAGGGGGCCGTGTCTCTGCCCTCCAGGCCTCAGTCTCTGAGGCTAGGTCCACAGCAGGGCTAGCTAGGCCCTGCCTGTCACGATGAATTCAGAGACGGCTTTGGTTCTGGGCCTGGGGGAAAGACCCCTCTGCCAGCTGACTGTAACTGTGGTTTGAGTCCGCCTACCTTTGTTCTCTAAGTGGGCAGTGCCCACTAACAGATTTTTATCGTAGAAAGATGTTTTTAGAATTAGAAGCGACCTCACCTTCTTGAGTTGTTCCCATTCCAAACTCTCAACTCTGGGTCACGCTGCTGGTCAGGGCACAGGAGGTCCTTCCTGCATCCCTGCCGTGGTCCAGTGGCTCTCGACAGGAGGGGGAAGGAAAGGCCGAGGCCTGGGGCTTGGTGCTCCGTGCTAACGCCCTTGAGCACAGCCCCTGACCATCCCCATGTTGTAGACAGGCTGACAGGCCCAGAAGAGAAGAGGGTTTGGAGTGTGGCCCAGGCTGGGCGGGGGGGAGCAGTGACCTAGAGGACACCAAGGTCACACAAGGTACATGGGGCCAAGCTGGGGCTTGAACCAGACCCCGTGTCTCTTGTGAGGTGAGGGAGGCCCCAGGCTCTGTCTGTGATGCAGCGGCATTGAGCCCTCCTGGGCTCCTCACACACACCCTGCCCCATCTCTGCCCACACATCCTGTTCCCTCCACCGGATTGGGGCTGGGGCTGTCTTTGGACAGAGCGTGGCAGACAGGCTAGTGCTGTCACAATGCAGATGCAAGTGGCAATGCCTCTGCCAAGTGCTGTCCAGCCACCCCCCCCCCCCAGAGCACCCTGGCCCACCCTCCTCCTTCCCAGGGGCCTTCTCGGGCATCAGAGGCTGCGACCGCTGCCCTTTGGCTCAGCTCTGGCTCCAGCTGGGGCCGTGCAGAGCTGGGACACGTTCCTTTTCCCCTTCATTTCCCGTGGAATAAAACACTTATACAGGGGCAGGTGTTATGGCACAGCTGGTTACGCTACTTCTCGGGACACTCACATCCCACGTCAGAGTACCTGGGATTTAGTTCCATCTCCACTTCCTCTTTTTTTTTTTTTTTTTTTTTTTAAGATTTGTTTATTTGAAAGAGTTACATAGAGATAGAGACAGAGAGAGGTCTTCCATCTGCTGGTTCACTCCCCAAGTGGCTGCAATGGCTGGAGCTGAAGTGATCTGAGGCGTCTTCCGTGTCTCCCACGTGGGTGCAGGGGCTCAAGGACTTGGGCCATCTTCTGCTGCTTTCCCAGGTGCATTAGCAGGGAGCTGGATTGGAAGTGGAGCAGCTGGGACTTCAACAGTAGTACATATGGTTTGCTGGCACTGCAGGCTGGGGCTTTAAGCTGCTGTGCCACAGTGCCGGCCACGCCATCTCTGCCTCCAGTACAGCTTCCTGGTAATGTGCCTCGTGGGGGACAAGGGGTGTTGGGTGCCCAGATGGAGCTCCAAGCTCCATGCTCCTGGCTTTGGCCTGGCCCAGCACTAGCTATTGTGGGTGTCTGAGGAGTGAACCAGTGCATAGAGGATCTCTGTCTCTCTCTTGCTCTGCCTTTCAACTAAATAGAGTTGTGTGTTTTTTTTTTTTTTTTTTTGACAGGCAGAGTGGACAGTGAGAGAGAGAGAGACAGAGAGAAAGGTCTTCCTTTGCCATTGGTTCACCCTTCTGATCACACCGTGCTGATCCGATGGCAGGAGCCAGGAGCCAGGTGCTTTTCCTGGTCTCCCATGGGGTGCAGGGCCCAAGCACCTGGGCCATCCTCCACTGCACTCCCTGGCCACAGCAGAGGGCTGGCCTGGAAGAGGGGCAACCGGGACAGAATCCGGCGCCCCGACCGGGACTAGAACCCGGTGTGCCGGCGCCGCTAGGCGGAGGATTAGCCTAGTGAGCCGCGGCGCCGGCGTGTTCCTGTTTTTCTCACATCGCCCAATTATGCATCTATCATAGTGTTTTCCTGTTTCTGTATTTAACAGTTTTTTGAAGGGTTGACAGAGATCTGTTTCCCATTTGCTGGTTCACTTCTCAAACACCCACAAGAGCTGGTGCTGGGCCAGGCCGAAGGCCTAAGCCAGGACTGCAGCCGGGTCTTGCCTGTGGGCGGCAGGAAGCCAAGTTCTCAGGCCATCGTCGCTGACTGCCGGGTGCATTAGCAGGAAGCAGAGCAGGAGAGACTTGTCACGTGGGGTGCAGTGACTTAATTACTGAATCAAGCACCTGCCGCACCGGCCCTTTTACAATGGCACTAATCCCTCCTACCTCTTAGTGTTCCTTGCTATGGTTTGAATGTTAATTTGGGTTTCTCCCAAAGGCCCATGTTTTAAAGACCTGGTTCCTCGAGTCTTATGCTGATGGTTAGTGGTTTGATGTTAATGATATATAAAGGTGGAGTTTTGTTTTTTTAAAAAATTATTTGAAGTGTGTGTTGGGAGGGTGACCATTCACTGGCTCACTCTCCAAACGCCCCCAAAAGGTAGGGCTGGGCTGGGGCCAAAGCCAGGAACAGGGAACACAATCAAGGTCTCCCACGTGGGTGGCAGGACCGTGGTTCGAGCCCCTGGTAGGCAGCAGTTTAATCACCTGCCTGGTTTCTTTTCCCACGTGTTCAAGCTCAGTGGTCTGTTTTTTTTTTTTTTTTTTTTTAAGTTTGTTTATTTGAAAGGCTGAATTACAGGGGCGGGGGTTTCCATCTGTTGGTTCACGCCCCACTCCCCAGATGGCCACAACAGCCTGGAACTTCTCCTGGGTCTCCCA